GAGAAGTAAAAAAAACATTTTTTTAATTAGTATGTGTTATTGACAAAAAGTCAAGGATATAGGCCTTTATTACAAAGACAATATGTTCTTTTGGGGGATTGCAGTAGAGAAACAATTCAATTAAATTATTGCAAGCCCAAAGGTGAAGAAGGTAATTAAAATATTAAAAAGACCTGTGTCTGAAGTCTCAGTCTCAGGGAAGCAGGTGTTCTTAGGAGACCAAGAGGAAGGAGAGTTGCTTGGAAAATACACTTCGGTTTTAGTGTTAGGAATCAGCAGTGTTACATTGAAAGTAAAACAAGAGAAGACAAGCTGATTAAGCTGCAGGAGAGAGATTCCCTTAAGAAAAAAAATTACTATGGTAGAGGCAAGAAGGGAAAAAGAGTATCTTTAAGGAAAGGATAGACAGATAGAAAATGGAGTAACCTCAAAAGGTAGAAGAGAACTAAGGTATTCTTCAAAAAAGCAGTAGAAAATGGGGAATGTGTTAGATGTTATTAGGTCAAAACAACGAGATCCACTGAAATAAAATCTAACAGGATGGGAAGCAAAGCCACTAAACAAACTGGAAAACTCAGAAGAAACCAGGATTCAAACACCACAGAGTGCCCTTTTCAAGGTGTAGATAGGCTTTCTATTTTGGAAGCACCTACTAAAGGTTGACACTGTCATTCAAATGCCCATAGAATATTTGGACAGTTTTGAAAAGTAAACCAGAAACATTGGTGTAAAATACCCAAAGAGTTAGACAGTGAGTTTCAATTTGACCAAGTAATTATGCTTGTGCCCTGAGTAAACATATGGTTTTATATAAATATATGCGTATATACATATATGTATATATATAATAAATCTGCATCAGCATCTTCTGTGCTGTGGTCTCTAGTGATGCTATATGCTATGAATCTGCATGATGACTGGTATCATCTTCAACAGCATTCACAATTTTAACCATATTTTTCAGATACAAAATGATTTGCAGGATTAACTGCAAAGAAATCAGAAGGGAAAAAAATCATATCCGTAAGGACCATATGTCTGATAGCTCTAAGGATTTCAGACTAAAACATAAGCCAAGATTTATTTGGAAAGCATTATGTCACTCCAAATGTGACTCATAAGTAATTTTATCATAATAATGAACACCTTATAAGTGGTGTCACATTTTCCAAAGGGCATTGCATGGAACAACTAGTTTTGTCGGATGTTGTTAGAAGTTAAGCACCCTTGCATCCCCTCCCCAAAAAATACCTCCACAAAAACACCCTCCTAGTTCTTTTTAAGTGAAATAGCGCCCAAATTCCTTTATAGTAACTGTAAATACCGCTAAATGAATCACAAACACGTTTTGCCTTAGAGATAACACTCGCAGCACCTATCATGCTCAGCATCTCCTTCTAAAGGTGCCCACAGTCCATGAGGAAAACAGCTGATCCCTGCAGCACGATGGCTAAACCACATGACCAGCCCCTCAGCCATTACAGATAAGACCAGGGGTGGCACCCGACCTAAGGAACAACCAATCCATCCATAAGTTGACCTGTGACTTATGATGATGTGGCTTGGCAATTAGACAACTACTCTGATTCTCCCTGGTAACTTGAGCCAGGACATGTGGAATAAATTGGCCAGCTGGTAATAGGAGGAGAAGCAAAAGACAAGACTGACTGAATCTTGTTACTAGCAGAGTAGTAGAGCTCAAAGGCATAACTTCCTTATACTACAGAGCACCTCGGATTCTGATCAACCATCAAGCTGCAGTCTTTGCATGGGCCTCGCATGAGGCCCAATTATCAATTTTCCTGCAATCCACCTGGCCTGGCTACACAGATGAGATTCTCCTTTCCCTTTCTACTTCATGTTGTTTAAGAATAAATTTCCTATTTGTCAAAATCACCAAACGAGTTTCCTTCTTGCAACCAAAAGACCACGCCTCCCCATTCTCACTGTAATCAGATTCATTCTTACCTGGTTATGTTCCAGCTGAATGTTTTCCTAAGATGTACTAACAGCAAAGGAGAACTTTCCATGCAATCTTCCATTGTTACACACCCTCTGTACTTCCTTTCTTTTTTAATGTTCTTACCTAAGTGAATAAGAGATTATAGATCATCTTGAATCTTCTCTAATTCATATTTCTAAAAAGTTGATTATGTGCAATCTTCAATTATTTTTAACATCTTTTGTAGCGTAGCTCTTAAATAATTTTGTTCCACTTCTCAAAGCAGAGATGTTGAGAATCACTGTCCTAGAAAGTATGTAGAGTAGTAGGCATAAATTATAACACTGGATGTCAGTCAATATTTTTTTTGTTGGTAAATACAAATAAAGTTGCATAAGAGCACGTTGTGCTCTGGATCTGAGATCTGCTGGAAGCTCCCATCATCTTTGCTTAGCCCTTAAGGTGCATGATGAAAGTACCCCTTCCTAACACCAGAGGGCACTGTGCCATCAGGATACTGCCAGCAACTGATTTTTTTGCAGCTGCTTCTATCAATACATTCCTGCACCACATTCAACCTCTCAGAAAAGCCTTCTGCTTTTTCTTTTTGCCACTCTTAGGCCAGGACTGGTTCTGAGGTTACATGAGAACAAGGGATTAAGAGAGGCTGCTAAAGACCAAGTTTCACAGGGATAAGAAAAATCTGTAATTTTTTAGCCATTATTATTCTGCCTCTAGCAAATTCAGTATCTTGATCTTTCTGGTCCTCATTATTCTCATTTAAAAGTAAGATACAATTCCGGCTTCCCTGGTGGCATAGTGGTTAAGAATCTGCCCCCCAATGCAGGGGACACGGGTTCAAGCACTGGTCCCAGAACATCCCACATGCCGCGGAGCAACGAAGCCTGCGCGCCACAACTACTGAGCCTATGCTCTAGAGCCCGCAAGCCACAACTACTGAAGCCCACGTGCCACAACTACTGAAGCCCGCGCGCCTACAGCCAGTGCTCCACAACAAGAGAAGCCACCACAATGAGAAGCCAGCGCACCGCAACAAAGAGTAGCCCCCGCTCACGGTAAATAGAGAAAGCCCGTGCGCAGCAGCAAAGACCCAACACAGCCAAAATAAATAAATAAGTTGTTTAAAAAATTTTTTTAAATAATTAAGATACAATTCTCGGGAAAACATGTCTAATGAGCATAATTAAACAGTTTTGCATTAGAAGGTAAGACTAAATCCTGTTGATTCTCATTGCAATTTAAATATGGGAAGTCAGATTGGTTTACTTAAGCCTATAAAATTGTGTCTAACTACTGGAACTTCTTAAAGAGAATACCCACCAAGTACCACCAATAATCTACTCTTATTATAAAGCTTCTAAATCTCATTAGTACAGGGGTTTGGGCTTCTTTCTTTCACAATCCAGATTAAGAGGAAGTTTTTCAAGCAAGGATTGTCTCAACACTCATTAATTCCCTCAACATGTACTGAACATCAACTGTGTGCCAGGCTTATATCTGCTAGATGCTGGCAAAAATACACAAGTTGTGCTTTCGTGAAGTTTTCAATCTGAGGCAATAAAATAATTTTTTAATTGTAAAACTGAACTGATAGGTGCTATAAAGAGAGCTCCAGGAAGCTACCAGAATTTATAACAGGGAGACTTGCCCCATCTGGTAAGGGTGGTCAAGAATGGTTCCCCGAAGGAAACGATTCCTGAGATCTAACAACTAAGTATGTGCTAAATATGCAAAAAAGGACGTGGGGCAGGCAGAGATGACGATGGGGAGAATAATCGCAGCAGGTACAAAAAAATCTGTGGGAGAAGACCTGAGAAATAAGGTCACTAAGGTTCAGTTCAGTGTACGGTGGGGAAATGGGAAAGCAGGGCAGAGGCCCTCAAAGCCATGACTATCTTTATACTGAAAACCACTTAAAGAATTTTAAGCTGGAGGTTGCCATGATCATATTTGTATTTAAAAATACTATTCTGGTGCCATGTGAAAAATGAACACAAAGTCAGGTTAGGAGGCTACTGATTATTGAGCTTCATGGAAGGATGACCCTGAAGGTGGCAAGTTGTCGAGAGCTGATGTTCAGAAAGTAAAATCCACAAAACTTGGTGATGGAGTATATAAATTATAAACGAGCTCATTGCGCTTCTGATTTCAAATCAGCAACTGTTTTAAACTGGCTGGTAAAACAAATGAAAATAGAGCCATCGGATTACAAACACTGAGACTTCTGCGTGAGAGAATCCCTGGGGTCGGCGTGATTATTTTCTTAAGCAAAAGTTTCGCTGCATTCTCATGGGCTCTGTGTAAATGCTCCCCGATAGATTGGTGGTGGCGTGTACAAAGGAATGTCCGAGGAAGGGCGCTCGCCCCTGGATCACCAAGGCTTGGGTCTTGGGAACCCTGGACTGCAATAAGGAGGGCCCGGTCGATTCACCGCCAGACTTCGGGGCTCTAGTAGTCCCCAGAACTCAGCAGTCACACCAGGTCGGGTGGCACCGAAGCGGCAGTGAACTTCGGCCTTTATTCCGGTGTTCATCCCACTGCTAGGGATGGTATTCAGGTTGCCGGAGATTTGCCGGAAGCTCAAGACTTAGCCCCTCTTCTTCGCTACGGTGGCCGAAAAGGCCCTGGAATGATAAGCCAAGTCAGACCGAAGAAGGCGCACGCGCATTGCGGACTTCTGGGCTCTGGAAAGGCCCAATACCTGACGGGCAGAGAGTGCCGGTTTAGCGTCTGTAGTTGCCTCTCCCGCCCCGCCGCACCCTGATTTTCTAGAAGGGTTGTCGCCCAACAAGCTTGGTTTAGAGAATGGAGGACCCGCCATTCCCCGTTGTCGATTAGCTGCCCGTCATCCATCAGGTTAGGAGGCGGAGTTTGGGCTCTTTCCTGTTGCATCAGCAGGTCCCTCCCGGACCACGTGGCGCAAGCGCAGTGTTCCTGAGCGTTCCAACCCACCTCTGCCTGGCGACCACTGTCCTTTCTTCCTGACCGAAGTTTTGGGGTTTAGTTTTCTCTTAGTGGTTTGCCAGCGTCCGAGGAGAAGGCCAGTAGCCCTTCAGGGAAAATGGGAGACGAGAAGTCGGTGAGTGGGTTGAGTGGATCCTGGAGGCCGGGCTGGGGCTCTCCTGGTACCCGTGTTGCCCAACCGGGGGAGGGAGGGGGTGGAGGAACCCGAGGGGGGCGATGGAGCTCCCGGACAAGTCAGGGCCCCCTTTGGAGAGGAATCTCAAATTGATAAATCAGGGCGGGGCTTAAGATCGTCTCTGGGTCCATCCTCTTTTTGTAGATGAGGACACTGAGACCTTGAGTGTCTTGCTCAGAGCCATACAACTAATTAGAAGCCGAGACAGAATTCGAATCTAGGGCTTCGGACTCCTAGACTAGGGTCTGTGGCTCACTTTAGTCGGGCAGAATGTTGCAGAGCCTCATTTACTTTTAAAACCACGTATGGGTAAAAAGCCCCAGTTTAAGGAAGGGAAAACCAGGTCATCGAGATCTGCCCAAGTTTTGGGTGATTTATAATAAATGGTGGAGACCGGATGACCCCAGCTGACAAACTCTAGAAAAGTTACACACTAACCTGCGTGGTGGTGGAGGCATGCCTTATCCCATTCATAAATGCTCATTTCACCCCTGGACTTTCCCTTTAGTGTCATAATTTGCTTGGGAACATCTTCCCAATCCTCTTCTGTGTACCAACTTTTGGGTTGAAGTTTTAGATTGCTTTTACGTTGACATATAATATGTAAACTCGCCCATTTTTGTTTTGTTTTCATTGGAAGTAAAGAACAGTTGCCCATCGTGATTTCACTTGTTATAGGGAAGGTGAAATGGGCCTCAGGGTTCCAAAGAGACCCATTTTAACGCCCTGGCTCTACTGTTTACTAGCGATGTACAAATGGGAAATTACTTACTCTCTTTGAGCCGTTGTTCTCATTTGTAAAATGGAGAGGTATTTAGAAGACAGAAAAACCGTGATGTTAATTCTCTTCTTCTTTACCATTATTCCTGTTCATTTAGCAAGTATCCATATGACCAAAACCGAAAACATTTAATCAGAGAAATAGAATTATTTCCCTCTCTTTCTGCTTTAAAGCTATACAGGCAGTCTTGCAATTAATTTTTCCCCTTTTTTAAAAAATAAATTTATTTATTTTATTTATTATTTTTGGCTGCACTGGGTCTTCGTTGCTGTTCGCCGGCTTTCTCTAGTTGTGGCGAGCAGGGGCTACTCTTCGTTGTGGTGCGCGGGCTTCTCATTGCGGTGGCTTGTGGAGCACGGGCTCTAGGAGCGCAGGCTTCAGTAGTTGTGGCACGTGGGCTCAGTAGTTGTGGCGCACGGGCCTAGCTGCTCCGCAGCATGTGGGATCTTCCCGGACCAGGGCTCAAACCCGTGTCCCCTGCATTGGCAGGTGGATTCTTAACCACCGCGCCACCAGGGAAGTCCCTTTTTATCCTTCTTTTCACCTGATATATTTGACTAATTACATTAATCATATAGTATGGTAAAGCCATGCAGGTAATCTTATAATCATGTTGGTTAGTACTTTACTTGATTAGAATGGACTTAAGGTGTGTTCATTGTTCATCTATTGACTATAAATGAACCTTCAAAGTTCATTAAATCGTGAATTCCTGAGTGGGGGAAGTGTTAGCTCAACATGAAATTTGGAGTCATATTTTAAAAATTTGTTTTGTTTTTTAAATTATACAAGTCATAAGTTTTATGAAATTGAAAAGAACAATCAGAATGTCCACAAGGGATAAATGGATAAATAATGGAATGTTATTTGGCAATAAAAAGCAGTGAAATACTGATACATGTAACATGGATGATCTTGAAATCATTATACTAACTGAAAGAAGCCAGTCACAAAAAACCAATATTGAATGATTCCGCTTATATGAAATGCCCAGAGTAGGCAAAACTGTAGAGACAGAAAGATTAGTGGTTGCCAAGTGCTGGGGAGAGGGGAGAACAGGGGGTGACTGTTAATGGATACATGGTTTCCTTTTGGGGTGATGAAATTGATCCTGGTGATAGTTGGGCAGCTTGTCTGTGCAGTAAAAACCATTGAATTATATGCTTTATGCGGGTGAATTTTACGGTACAGAAATATATCTTAATAAAACTTTTTAAAAAAATTCAAAGATCAGAAAAATATATGAAACAAAAGTCCCCCCATCACATCCCCAGTTCTACCCTCAAAACTCCTTCACTGCTGATGATAACATCCCCCCTTAGAGCTGACCACTGTCAACATCTGGGTGGGTATCTTTTTTCCTGCCACTTGTAGGTTTTCTGAACCTAGAAAAATCATCTAATTTTTAAAAATTTAATCTTATCTGTAAAATGGGAATAATAATGATAGTCATCTCACAGTGTTTCTATGAGAATCAGATGTGATTGTGGAGGAACTTTGTAAACTGTAAAATTTTATGTAGTGAAATTTGCATTAGGATGTTTCTATCTGAGCAGTTACAAAGAAGTAAGTAATTTATTTCTGAGAAGATACTCTTTGGAGTATCCCATAATGTGGTTCGGTGTTTCTCGACCTCAACACTTGACATCACGGACTGGATAATTCTTTGTTGTGGGAATCTGTCCTGTGCGTTGTTGGATGGTTAGCAACCTTCCTGGCCTCTACCCACCCTCTGCCTGCTGTACATACCACACCACACCGCCCTCCCACCTTCCCCCCCACTCCCCACTCCCGGTTGTGACAACTGAAAAGGTTTCCAGACATTGCCAGGTGTTTGCTGGGGGCAAAATTGCTTCTGGTGAGAACCATGGGTAAGACCAGTTCTTGCCATTGGTTGCCTTTTTGCACAGGACTTACTGTAAAACTTTCTATGACTTCCTGGAATTGAACTGAGTTGAATTCTAATAGAAGTCCACATCTTTATGGTAACTTTTAGTGCTTGCTTCTGTCTAAGCCCTCATCTGTCTTAACTGACAGTGTTTCCTAAAAGGTTTAGTAATTCTCTCTCTCTCTCTCTCTCTCTCTCTCTCTCTCTCTCTCTCTCTCTCTCTCATTTCCAACAATAAGTTTCTGTGTACACCTAGAACAAAATTTCCTCCATTCTCAAAATCCAGCCTGTTGAAATCTCCATCCTTTAAAGTCCTTTAAAGCCCTAACAGTTACCAGTGTCTTAGCTTATCTGACATCTGGTCAGAGTACTACAGCTGTGTTCTTTTCTCCTCCAGGAGTTTCTCACATATGTTTGCCTTAGTTTCCCCAAAGAGATTAAGTTTGCACATGGTAGGGATTGGGTCTTATGTTTGCTTCTTCTAGAGGATTTAAAAAAAAAAATACTGTGAGCACAGAGGCTCTGGGTAGTACTTGTGGAATGGATGGATATATATTGCATTAGATTTTTTTTTTCTGAAAATACTACTGAATAAATTGCATGCTTCTTGTAGCTATGTATTTAGTATGTGTCCATTTAAACCTGAAGCGAGAGTCATGTGAACAGGTAAAATGAATGAAATTTGAGGACTTGAATATTATCAAGTCACTCTTCTACTTTTTTAGGGCTTGTCTTTATTGTAAGTTGTTAACTTGTCTTTGACAGTGGTGAGATTTTCTAGTCTTTCAAAATCAGATTTCCACTTAAAAAAAAAATAGATGCTAAAATAACATCCTCAAAACTTTTCTGCAGGCAACATGGATAGGTGTCAAATGAGATTAAAATGTAAAACCTTCATGCCTTTTTTGCTTATTTAGGTAGGTGCCAGTGAGGAGAAACGAAAGGAAGGAGGCAAGAAGAACAAAGAAGGCTCTGGGGATGGAGGTCGAGCAGAGGTAAATGTTTTCAGGGCTCTGTCATCAAAGATTGACAGAGGCAGGGAGCTGTCTCAGACTCATCCTATGCGAGATTCTAATGGTTTTCGTGGGGTTTATGAGATGGCACTAGATGGAAAAATCAGGGAGAAGAATTAGGAAATTCTGAGAGGGGGAGAAAGACTTGCAGTTACTTGTTATTGAAAAAGGAAAACAACTGAAGTATGATTGTAAAATAATCTGTGGAATTAGATATTAGAACAAGAGTTGGTGAAAAGAGGACTGTGGTAATTAGTTGCCAGGTCGAATGCTAGCTGTCTGACCATTTCATTCAATGAGACGTTAACAGACTTGGTGTTTGGGCTTTTACTGACTACAACAGAAACCAAAGAAAGCCTTGTTCCTTCACCCCATTAGCACTGTTTCCACCTGGACCTGCCACTGGAGTTTGGTTTTAAGCCAGGACAAATCTCCTTGATGCCTCTCAAGTGTAGAGAAAAGGCTTTCAGTTCACCAGGCTCACACTAAAAGGAACTGGCATTTCAAGAGTCATCCCAGAATTGACCTGGTTCCTGGGTCTTGCTTTAGGAGGCGGTTAAGCTTGGCTTCCTACTTAGATTTTGAAGTTGAACTGCTGTGAACCGTGCTTGACTTTTTGCTTTTGTCATTGCAACCGTTTTGTTAGAGACTCTTTAGAAAACGACCAGAATGCAAAACAAAGGAATAGGCTTTTAAGAAGTATGCGATAGCACAGTAAACTGACTTTAAAGAGCTGTTTTTATAAATGTTGCATTGCTAAATTTATAGTGCCTCCACTTAATTTAGGGTAAGTTTGTAGGTGATCAAGAATCACTAAGTGTTGCCGAGAGCCCTGCATAACCGCTTCTGTTGTGTTTTGTTCATTATACCCCACTGTAATTGTGGGGAATTGTTGATTGTTAATTTCAGAATTTGCAAGTAAGTAAGAAAATGGCGTATGTTCCCTAATTTCTTTTTTGTACTTTCAATACAAGTAGTACATGCTCTTCTGTTACAGCTTGAGATTTAGCCTGGAAATAGGAAACAAAGGGTATAATTAGAGGACTTTTTTGAATAGAGAATTGTGCATGTGACATGTGGTTGATTATATATGTTTTAAATGATCTGTCTGGAAAAAAAGTGTACAGTGAGATGTCGAAGACCTTTCTTCCTCCTCCATGCTCCCATCATCTGTGTACTTGTCTTGTTCCCCTTCCAAGGGCAGTGGGCAGGTCTTACTCTTCTCTTGCATCCGCAGAGCCAGGCACAGAGAGTATTTGCTCCATGAATGTTGAATAAATTAAGTTTGACACTAAGTTCTTCTGATCAGGAAGTGCCAAATGGATGTGGAGATAAACTGCAGTAAGATACAGAGGGTCATGTGGGTGGGTAGGACTGTAGTGATGTCACAGTGTGTGGGACCAGGTAATGTGCTTTGGCCTGAGGGATTCAGAGCAGGGTTGTAGAATGATAGGCTTTGAGCTTTTAGTTAATTTATTGATGCTTCTTCATTGAGGATTATGGACCCCTGTGACAATTTAATGAAAAGCCCCCAAAGAGCACCTAAATGACTAAAGAAAGGGAAGGACTGTGGTCGGAGGGAATTGTAAAGATACTAAGGCTCTTCCATTTAAAAAATTGAAGGCCAAGAAAAAATATGATTGAAATGAGAAGGGAATTTTGTATAAAGGGAAAAACAATAAAAGCACTACATCATACAAGGTAAACTTTGTCTTTATTATTTCTTCCACTTTTCTAAGAAGGAAAGCAAGTGTGTACTGATTATTTATTTTTTCATTTGTTGTCTTGCAGTTGAATCCTTGGCCTGAATATATTAACATACGTCTTGAGATGTATAATAAACTAAAAGCAGAACACGACTCCATTCTGGCAGAAAAAGCAGAAAAAGATAGCAAGCCAATTAAAGTCACCCTGCCTGATGGTAACCAGTTGGATGCAGAATCTTGGAAAACTACACCATATCAGATTGCTTGTGGAATTAGGTATAAGCTCTACCTGTCTTACCTTCTGTTGTTTGTAACTAAACGTTTTTTTTTTTATCTTGCCAAGTTTTATCCTCATAATATTTTTATGTTCCTGTTCAATGTTTTTATTGTTTACTTTACCTTATTTGGGATTTTTAAAAAATCAAAATAATGTAGAGCTTTATACTCAAGATTCAAAGTTAATATCTGAAAGAGTCAACTTTGGTCTTATTTTACAGAAGATTTTATATGATTAGTTTTTCTGCTTTGATCATAAAATGTCACATAACCAAGTAGAGAGTACTTCACTTATTTTGACTAAAAAGTCTCAGTTTTAAAGTTAAAAATGAAGGTAGCTCATCTCAAAATGGGAAAATTAAGAAACTAATATATGAAATATATTATTAAACTATATATGAAATATATGAAACTAACACATGAAAAAATGTACTATTTTTATAAAGCTAATGTTAAAACTTCTGTCGGGCTGGGGAGAAGTTATTTCAGGTAACTGAGAATTAGATGCATACTTTGTAATAGAGTAAATGCTTTCTTAATCTAATATGATTGGGATGAATAGTTGGTAAGTTTATCAAAAAAATGATAAAGTTGGGAAGGCATAAATTGATACATGTATCTTCTACCAAGTGTTGGCAAACTGGTCATAGCCTGTTTTTTGTACAGCTCAAGAGCTAAGAATCATTCTTATGTTTTTAAATGGTTTGAAAAAAATAAGACAACTAAGAATATGCAACAGAAACCATGTATGGCCTTCAGTCTAAAATTTTTATATGGCTCTTTACAGGAAAAGTTTGCCAACCGCCATTTAAACATTTTAACTTAAAACATGTATATATTCATTTATTCACTAATATGTATATAAGGCCAAAGTTTGGGGGGTGGGGTGCTATTTAAACTTTTACATTATCTTAACACACTTGAGAAGCCATCTGAGTGCAGAATCCTTCCAGATTTTTATGTAGTTGTTTCATCCACACCTGACTTGAAAGTATTTTTTTAGTGACTTCCCTTTATCAAGCCTTCCCAAACATTCAACTTGGTTTGAATGTAATTCAAACCAAGAAACTGTAATTCCCTTGTTGTATTACTTAAATATTTCTATTTACTTATAATAATTACATACTGAGCTGAAACAAATGAAATCATATATGAATTGTCAGAAATGGTTGATTATCATCAATTTCATGTTGTTGAACCTAAGACATAAAATAACAAGTGCATAAACAAATTGGGGAACCATGACAGCTGATTCTTGGTAAGCCTACTATGCAACTGGTGGGAGTTAGGCCCACGAGCTATGTATTGGTATATGCCCTGGCCTTCTTACAAAAGGAATGGAATGTTGCTGTTAATTTGACAAGTACTTTTACCTAATAAACTTCTGCCTTACTCCAAAGGAAGTAAGTAAGAAAGTTGTAATGTTAAGCAAGTTTCCATGTGAGATCATAAGTAACTAGATAAACCTATAAATATCAGTTCAGCCTTTCACTTGAGAGATAACTTCGCAGGTGAGGTTAAAAGATTCCTCTGTTGTTGCACAATGAGACTGTAGCTGTGTCAGTACTAAAATCCAGGCTCCTGTTAGTGCAAGAACTTTTTCTCTACATGCTACAGTATTGTTCTTCAGATTATGTTGTAATTTATCAAGTGGCCAATTGGAAAACTAATTTTCTCTTTTTTTGAATTAAAACTTTTATTGTGGTGTAAGTGTCATAACATATTAGTTTGAAAATATTTGAGGCGGGGAAACTGCTAGACTATTATAGACGGTCATTTCTCTAGCTGCACATTCACATCTATAATCTGACTAACCTTACTCAGTTCTGCTTGAGCCCCGCAGCTTCCTGAACGTCTCCTAACTTACGTCTCTGCTTGCATCCATGCCCATTCTCAACATTTGAAGTGCCATCTCCTCTCCTTTTCTTCCTGTCCAAATCTTTTGATGCTTCATCCCCTCATTACTTTATTTTTTAAAGCCTGTCCAGACTACTCTGAACTATGCTGCTTTCCCCTCCTCAGAACTCCTGCGACTTCTGCACTTGGTGGGTCTAACATCTCATCACTTGAGGAGAGAATTGTCTTTTGTACTGTGTACTGTACATTTAGATGACATTTTTATCCGTATTATAAAATGTTTCATTAAATAGTATTTCACTTCACCTGTATATTTGTTATAACTAATATCATCTTAGGCATTTGCAGAATTATGAGATGAGCATTGCTTCTCAGAGGAAAGATCTGTTATAGATTTCAAGCAGGATAAAAGCAGAGAGGTTATTTAGAAGCACCTCCACCTCCTTTTTTTTCCTTTGGAATCTAAATAGCTTGGCTTTATGGAAAACTAATTTTGGAGAAATTTAAAGATAAACTACTGGAACTTGTTATTGTTTATAACAGTTGCCATGTCTGCTTAAACAAGAAGCATTAAATGAGGTCAAATAATAGTGTTCTGAATTTTCAGCATCTTCTAGTTATATTCTTAGGGACTTTTTGAATTTTGTCACTTTTTCATTTTATTTCAGAAAGGTAAATGTACATCTATATATAATATACAGGCATACCTCAGAGATATTGCGGGCTCAGTTCCAGACCACCACAATAAAGCGAGTATCACAGTAAAGCAAGTCACACGAATTTTTTGGTTTCACGGTGTATAAAAGTTGTTTACACTGTATTGCTGTCTATTAAGTGTGCAGTTGTTTGTCTAAAAAAAAGTACATGTCGTAATTTAAAAATACTTTATTACTAAAAAATATTAACTATCATCTGAGCCTTCGGTGAGTCATAGTACTAACATCAAAGATCACTGATCACAGATCGCCATAACAAATACGTATAATAATAATGAAAAAGTTGGAAATATTGTGAGAATTAACAAAATGTGACACAGAGACACAAAGTGAGCAAATACTGTTGCAAAAATGATGCCAATAGGCTTGCTTGATGCAGGGTTGCCACAAAAAAACAAAACAAAACAAAACTGCAGTATCTTCACAGTGCAATAAAAGGAGAGATATGCCTATATATAATGTTTATTTTCCTGTTCTTGTTCTCAAATTAACTGTTGTGCTGCAGAAAATTCTTTTTTAGAGTCTTGTGTTTTTATACGTGTGTGTATGTCTTTTTAAAAAGTCAAGGCCTGGCTGACAACACTGTTATTGCTAAAGTGAATAAAGTCGTCTGGGACCTAGACCGTCCTCTGGAGGAAGACTGTACCTTGGAGCTTCTCAAGTTTGAGGACGAGGAAGCTCAAGCAGTAAGTTTTTATTGAGATTCACATTTGCAGACTTCTCCAGCTTATTACTAAAGCCAACGGGTGGCTAAAGTTGATTGATGTCTCATTGTCATATTTGAAATCTTCATTTTGTCTTTCATGTAGGAAACATAGTAAAAGTGCTTGTCTTATAAAATTAAGAAGTGCACTTATTCAAGTTTATTTTTACTCTGGATACTTCAGTGGGGAAAAAGTGCTGGGAATTTTATTAAAAGTTGATTAAGCAAGTAAAAATTGTTTTCTGCATTATTAGTCAACACTTAATCAAGATGCATATATTTAACAAATTCGAGCATGATTTAAAGTTCTCTTCCTATTGGGCAATTGATTTCTGTATTTTTCTTACCTTAAAATGCAGATCTGCCGAAAGCACTGTAAAAATCAATCTGCATTTGATGGCAAAGTTTTCTCCTTATTTCCCCATGATGGAACACCATATAAGAAGTAAAATACGTTGTTTTAGTGACAACGGTTTACTTATATATGTGAATCAGTGGTTTTCAAATGTATTCTGGAGTCCTTAATTTTTTTATGAGAATTTAATTTTACTTATTATTTATTTATTTATTGAAGTATAGTTGACTCACATTATTAGTTTCAGGTGTACAGTTTTTATGAGAATTTTAAAAATCTTTATTTCAGTACCTTACTAATTAGTCTTAAAAACATTGCTTTGGGTATATTCTGTCTCATCTGAATTACCACCGTAAAACCGGGTACTACCTTTTGATTTCAAGGCCCGTATGTTGGTCCTTGGTTTTATAATTGTACTGTAGGGTCAAGTTGTACCATCTTAGTTTTGTTTGGGGCCAATAAGAGAAAAGCAGATATAATTCTTAAGTGATGTTCCACGGCCAAGTAAAGACCAGAGCATAGCCTTCACTAATTTCGGAGAAATTTAAAGATAAACTACTGGAAATTGTTATTGTTTATCACAGTTGCCATGTCTGCTTAAACAAGAAGCATTAAATGAGGTCAGATAATAGTGTTCTGAATTTTCAGCATCTTCTAGTTATATTCTTAGGGACTTTTTTGAATTTTGTCACTTTTTCATTTTATTTCAGAAAGATAAATGTACATCTATATATAATATACAGGCATACCTCAGAGATATTGCGGGCTCAGTTCCAGACCACCAACTCAGATATTTTGAAGTCAGTTCCAGGGATTGACTCAAAAGATCCCAGGGCCATGGCAGTTAATAAGACAGTCACATTGTGAGTGCCTGTTGTTTTCAGGAAACAAAATCCAACCCGTTTAATTAATGATGCTAAATTTGTATTTTAATTAGTTTGAAAACAACTAAACCAGATAATTTCTAAGGTACAAATACAATTTAGTAATTAGAATCATTTTAAATTATTTTGGCTCTGAATAGAATCACACTGCAATCTATAGCTTTGTAAATTTAGGTTTTCATGTCTTGGGTTTATTTATAATAAACTTGATATATCTTTCAAAACAAACAAATTAATTTATAGCTTGTATGCCCAGACTCAAACCATCCCATTTTTCTTTGATTTTCAGGTATATTGGCACTCGAGTGCTCACATAATGGGTGAAGCCATGGAAAGAGTCTATGGTGGGTGTTTGTGTTACGGTCCACCAATAGAAAATGGATTCTATTATGACATGTACCTTGAAGAAGGGTAAGTTATGTAACTGGATAAAGAAAAATAAAATCTGAATTACTATGGGTCCATACATTATTTTTAAAGAGTTCTCAATTAAGGAGGTATGATATAAAACTTACTGCTTCCTAGTCACCAAGTACTCCCACTAACAAAACTTAAAGTGTTGTGGTAACTCACAAAGTAGTAGAGAGCTCTCTTCTAGATCAGTGGAGGTGGAACCCTAAGCTATGTCGGGAAATAAAATGAAGCTTGGACCTCTCCTGTTCTTTAAACCCGGTTCTAAAGTTAGAGGAATGTTCACTAGTTGGAATGGTCTTCATGGTGACCAAGGTCAAAGCCACTGAAAATATGAAAATAGTTTATAAAAAATGTCTAGTTTAAAATTCTTAATAAATGATGCAGGGGTCTAATTTTTTATATTAAAACCCTTGAAGTATTCTAAAGAGATGTTCCCCCAAGCTGCGGTGTGAGTGGAATAGAGTGAAAAGAGATTGATTATATTTTCTTCTTCAGGGGTGTGTCCAGCAACGATTTCTCTTCTTTGGAGGCTTTATGTAAGAAAATCATTAAAGAAAAACAAGCTTTTGAAAGATTAGAAGTTAAGAAGGAAACTTTACTGGAAATGTTTAAGGTAAATTGAACTGTAACATGGCCTCCACTTTTATTTCACTCATTAATGTTACGTAAAGTACATTGGGCTCTACGCAATGCTCTGTGGTGACCTAAATGGGAAGGAAATCCAAAAAAGAGGATATACGTATAGGTGTAGCTGATTCACTTTGCTGTATAGCAGAAACTAACACAACATTGTAAAGCAACTACTCCAATAAAAATTAATTAAAAAAAATAAAGTACATTGGGGCTTGGTGTACTAAGTTCTTTAGAAAAATTTAACAATGTTTTTAAAACATGAAATACATATTTATATTCATACGGTCCTTAGATGTACTTTGAATTGTATTTTAGCTATAGTATTTAGAAGTAAAAATTAAAGGATGGTTATCTAAAAAATAATTTTTCCTATTTTCAGTACAACAAGTTCAAATGCAGGATATTGAATGAAAAAGTGAATACTCCAACTACCACAGTCTATAGGTGAGAACATCAAGTGTCATTAAATACCATTGGTGTATATGTCATTTTAAGTCTATGTTAAAATTCCTTTTAATTTATCTCTAGGTGTGGCCCCTTGATAGATCTCTGCCGGGGTCCTCATGTCAGACACACTGGCAAAATCAAGACTTTGAAAATACACAAAGTAAGCAATGTAACTTTGAAGGCGCTATATAAACATATTTGTATACTAAAGATGTATGTTTAAACTTGTATTCGTTTCTCTTTTCAGCGATTTTTCTCTTGCATATTTAAGGGTGGATTTTTTTCTCATGCTGTCTACTGACTGTGGGCACTACGTGTCACTAGCCTTTTTTTTTCTTTTTAATAAATTTATTTTATTTATTTATTTTTGGCTGTGTTGGGTCTTCATTGCTGCGCACGGGCTTTCTCTAGTTGTGGCAAGCAGGGGCTACTCTTCGTTGCGGTGCACGGGCTTCACATTGTGGTGGCTTCTCTTGTTGTGGAGCACGGGCTCTAGGCACACGGGCTTCAGTAGTTGTGGCACGTGGGCTCAGTAGTTGTGGCTCGCGGGCTCTAGAGCGCAGGCTCAGTAGTTGTGGCGCACAGGCTTAGTTGCTCCGCGGTATGTGGGATCTTCCCGGACCAGGGCCCGAACCCATGTCCCCTGCATCGGCAGGCGGACTCTCAACCACTGTGCCACCGGGGAAGCCCACTAGCCTTTTTTTTAACTGAAATTCTCTCAAGCACTGACTGAGTGACTCACCACTCATCACCAGAGCACACGGGGATGGAGATTTGGAGGATTTACAAAAATCACAGTCATGGGCCATTGTGGCTCGAAAAGCTTTGAGACTCACTGTAGGGGTGTGTGCTCTTGCCTTTTGTATGTCTAAGGTAGTAATTACCCAAGTTGTTCTTCTTTAACCAAACTAATCCTGCCAGTCAGATTTTTTTTTTTTTTCCATTTTTGCTGAATCATCTTGTGGGAGATGCCCCTGTAGTCAGTCGTGTTCGTGGAGTTGTGGTGTGAGTGGGTCTTGAGGGCAGGGCAATTTCAAGGGCATTAAGCAGCAAGCTTTGTGCTGTGGAATGAGTACAACCACCCTAGCGAGGCCTCAGCAACTGAGATGCTTACTATATGTGCACTTTTCGTGCCATTCTTCTTGTCATAAGGACTAAATGTGAATTTGACTCATGATGTGACTGACAGAGAAAACGTCTAACTCTTAAAATAAATGAGCTATTAAAAATTGGGGGGACTTCCTTGGTGGTGCAGTGGTTAAGAATCTGCCTACCAATGCAGGGAACACGGGTTTGAGGCCTGGTCCGGGAAGATCCCACATGCCGTGGAGCAACTAAGCCTGTGCGCCCCAACTACTGAGCCTGTACTCTACAGCCCCCATGCTCCGCAACAAGAGAAGCCACTGCAATGAGAAGCCCGTGCACTGCAAGGAAGAGTAGCCCCCACTCGCCACAACTAGAGAAAGCCTGCGTGCAGCAATGAAGACCCAACACAGCCAGAATAAATAAATAAACAAATTTATTTTTCAAAAAAATTTGAATATTATCTCATGGTTATTCCTTCTTTTCAGAATTCCTCCACCTACTGGGAAGGCAAGGCAGATATGGAGAGTCTGCAGAGAATTTATGGCATTTCATTCCCAGATCCTAAAATGTTGAAAGAATGGGAGAAGTTCCAAGAGGAGGCTAAAAACCGAGATCATAGGAGAATTGGAAGGGTATGTTCAAAAGGATAGTGATGTGTGTAGACTGAGTTTTCTTTGTTTTCATTTGACTTGAAATCGTATTACGTACCAGGAATTTACTTCTGCAGAGATGCTGTAGCTTTCAGTAATTATTGTACTGTCCTGTGAAAGCTGTAAATGACTTATTCATTGTCCGCATTATCTTTCTAGAGTGTGTTCAGTACCGCACAGAAGTTCATTTTGACTACTCCTTTTATTGAGAACAAGTGCTGATGACCTACATTTTTCTTTGAAAAAAGTATAGCAGCATAGCAGCATTTCATAGAGCTGGGGGATGCTTTAGAAATCCCCTGGTCTCACTGACTTATTTTAAAGATGTGGAGGGCTTCCCTGGTGGCGCAGTGGTTGAGAGTCCGCCTGCCGATGCAGGGGACGCAGGTTCGTGCCCCGGTCCAGGAAGATCCCACGTGCTGCAGAGCGGCTGGGCCCGTGAACCATGGCCACTGAGCCTGCGCGTCCGGAGCTTGTGCTCCGCAGCGGGAGAGGCCGTAGCAGTGAGAGGCCTGCGTACCGCAAAAAAAAAAAATGTGGAAACTTAAGTCCCAGGAAGATTCATCTGCTTGTTGCCCAAGATGACACAGCAAGTCATTGATGGATTCTGTGGTGTCCTTTCCTTTATTCTTCTACCCCTGACTGTTTTCTAAGCTGACAGTTAGGTTTGGTAAAAATACTCCCTTCTAGAAGAGTGTTTACTCTGTGCTGGGCGTCAGGTCACGGCTGTTAGGTTGTGAAGTTTGAGCAGGAGGCAGCATCCACTGTCCTGTGCTGCTGATTGCCTGAAATAAGATCCAGCAGGAAGGAGGCCAGCAACAATTGGTGGGGTCCCTCCCTGAGGACTTGGGCATTTGGTGGGCAAGAAGGTAGGAGGGTGTGCCTCTTTCACCATGACCCAAAGTTAGCCAACTTCTCCATCTTCTATGTCATTATCAGTGTCTTTTTCTCAGTCTCCTTCCTGCTGTTCTTAAAAAAAAAAAAAAGGAAAAAAAAGAAAGAAAGAAAAAAGGGGAGGGAAGGAGGGAGGATCTTTGAGCTTTGAGGAGCTAAGACTCTGAGAGCCCCTGCTGTGCATAGTAGAAGAGAACTAAGACCCTTGCTCCGTGTGACTCTTGGGTAAACTTGACTGGATTCAGGAATGTAACAGAGAATGTACTTGTGCTAAGTGGTAAAGCACCTGCAACACCAGAAATGTCAACATGTTTTCCTTGATTTGGGAATGGCACCAGTTAAAATATGAAGCATCATGACCATATTCTGAACTCAAGAACCCTGAAATTTATGTTGATATTATATACATATATAAACTTTCTTTTGCTTTTGTTTTACCCAGGACCAAGAACTATATTTCTTCCATGAACTCAGCCCTGGAAGTTGCTTTTTCCTGCCGAAGGGAGCATACATTTATAATACACTTATTGAATTCATCAGGGTAAACCATATTCATGACTTTCTTCTGTAGATTTAAGACAAGTTGATTTTATTAAATAAGATCTGCCAAAGGGAAAGATAATCTTTTGTTTGAGAAGAAACATTTCAAATAATAAATGAAAATGGACGTATGAGGTCTCATAAAATGTTTAAAAAATTCTTTCCTTCTAATACATATCTTGTCCACAAACATGGGTGTGCACACATGAGACAAGCTGGTGAGCCTGAAGTGGGGCCTGTAACTCTTTACACAGGAGCTCTGTGGCTTTCTGACCGTTCATTTGTATTTTCCTAGAAAAAGCAAGTTAATCTTTACATTGCTTTTTTTCTTTGTAAACTATGAAGTGTTTCAAGCATACATTTATAGAGAATAGTACCGCCAACATCTCTGTACTCACCACCTAATTTAACACATAACTGCATTGGGCTATATTTGCTTCAGATTTTTTAATTGAGGTAAAGTAATACATATATAGTAAGGGGAAAAAACCTCCCCTTTGAGACCCCTTTTTGATCCATTTCCCTCCTTTCCTAGAAGAAACTACTGTTTAGAAGTTAGCATGGATGGATCCATTTTGTCCATGTTATTTTTACATCTACCCCATAAATATGTACCCTAAATTATACTGTTTGTTTGTGTGCTTCAAACTTACATACATGAAGTCTCATTTTATATCAGTCTGCACTGTGATTTTCATTTTAGATAGGTACAGATCCAGTTTGTTTGCAGTTGTTACGTATTAGTCTGTCATATAACTACCACAGTGTTCATTTCTTTAGTGGGGGACACTGATGTAATTTCCCATTCTCCCATATTACCAGCTGTGCTGCAGTAGCCTCCTTATGTGCATGTGCAGGAGCTTCCTCTTTGATGTATATGTCCAGGTGGAGCTTCTAGATTATAAGATGTACATCTTGAACTTTACTAGATAGTATAAAATTGCTCTTGAAATCTTTACTTCCACCAGCAATATAAGCATCTGTTCCTTACACAGGCATTGTATTTGTTTTCTAACAGAGTGAATATAGGAAACGAGGATTCCAGGAGGTGATCACCCCAAACATCTACAACAGCCGACTCTGGATGACCTCGGGCCACTGGCAGCACTACAGCGAGAACATGTTCTCCTTTGAGGTGGAGAAGGAGCTGTTTGCTCTGAAACCCATGAACTGCCCGGGACACTGGTATTCTGCAATTTTGAGTTTCTGTCAGAGATTTTCTTGCAATCAGTCCCAGATTGTTTTCCCTCCTTTGAAAGTATTTTGTGAAAAACAAATTATGTAATCAGAAGAGTATTTAAATGCATCATCATTGTGGTGGTGTAACATCTTCTGTGCCCAGCTAGATCCTCAGATATACAGATAGTCAAGAACGGAACTGGGGTAGCAGCAGTGAACGGGCAGAATACAGAACAGGGGCGACTGAATGTGGGGCACAGCAGATTTTTTTTTTTTTTTTTTAAAGAAACATGTATCAAAATCTACTGCTGATGAATCGACCTCCTTGGAAAACCTTCCTTGCCTTGAGGCTGCTCACTTTCTATCCTTGAAAGTTGGGTGAAGAGCACCGTGGCGGCAGACTAGGGAGAGCTGTGGCTGTAGGTAGCTGAGTCATCGCTCCCAGTAGCAAGACCTCGAGGGCAGAGGGCTGAGACAGAGGAGTCTCCACGAGGGGACTAGCTTGTAGGTCAGGGAACCAAGGTCAAGTTCATTCTTAGTTCTCCCAGATTCTTCAGAGTTTCTGAAGCACTTTCAGACTAAGAGGGAACTGAAGCACTTTTGAGAGCAACAAGAAAGTAGACTTTAGTTTCTGCTGATATAAATGATGTGTATATAGCTAAGATTTTCTTTAAAATATGAGCCTTAAAAGGCAGTCCTCAAATTAATAGAGATTGAGCACAAGGCTATGACTCCAGACTTATGGGAATACATTTTTTATTTTCTCTTAGTTATAGATGGTTGTATTATAATTTATTTGCTACTTTATTCATGCAAGTGCTTACACTGTTGTATGAAGCCCAGACTTTGAAAAGTGTTGTTTGTGTGAACAGCTAGAACCAGTAGCTTTTTGACAGCCTTCCTTATAGTATTAGAGAAGCAGTTTTATTCTTGTGAAATTAAATATCAGTGGATTTTACTTCTCTGTTTTCTTTAGCCTTATGTTTGATCATCGGCCAAGATCCTGGCGAGAGTTGCCTCTGCGAGTAGCTGATTTTGGGGTGCTTCATAGGAATGAGCTGTCAGGAGCGCTCACAGGACTCACTCGGGTACGAAGGTTCCAGCAGGATGACGCTCACATATTCTGTGCCATAGAGCAGGTATGAGACTCTGGGGTGAAACACTTGGAAAAGAAGTGTCACAAAACTTGAGGAAAATTAATGACCACTGTGTCCCTGTTTTTTTTTTTTTTTAATTTAAAGATTGAGGACGAAATAAAAGGTTGTTTGGATTTTCTGCGTACAGTATATAGCATTTTTGGGTTTTCTTTTAAACTGAACCTGTCTACTCGCCCGGAAAAATTCCTTGGAGATATTGAAGTATGGAATCAAGCTGAGAAAGTAAGTGGTGATTTTCAGCGTGCTTCAATATTATTTGACTGAAATTGTCTTGCGCCATAATGTGAGAAAGCAAAGCCTCTTTAAATGGATAAAAGCAAAAGAAAATTGGAAATGGTTTCTAGGCTTGTATAAGCTAGTTATTTTTCTCTATGATTTTGTATTTTAGAAATGGTTGAATGTTCTTTTAGTCCTCAAGCTGTAACCTTTAAAGGGGTTTGTGTATGAGTATGTCTAGGTGGACAAAATGGTAAAACAAAGAATAGTGACACATGAAAGTAGTTGTAGTATTTTTAGTCTCAAGTTAGGCTGGAAGAAGTTGTATTTGACCAGAAGTTAAAATCATTTTGCTTTATCCTTAGCAACTTGAAAACAGTCTGAATGAGTTTGGTGAAAAGTGGGAATTAAATCCTGGAGATGGAGCTTTCTATGGTCCAAAGGTCAGTACCAAAGTCTATTTGAGAGTAATATGTCTTTCATTTTTGGGTGAAGAAGAGATTACTTTAAAATAAGTTTTAAAAAATTCAACCCTAATACAACCCAATCTTTGCTTCTTAGATTGACATACAGATTAAAGATGCCATTGGTCGGTACCACCAGTGTGCAACGATCCAGTTGGATTTTCAGTTGCCCATTAGATTTAATCTTACTTTTGTAAGGTGAGTTTCTAGGGTCTGCTCTGAATATTCTTATTCAAGGACATATGAAGGAATATATATATATATATAATAAAGCAAAACAAATCTTTTCTTTCTAGCCATGATGGTGATGATAAGAAAAGGCCGGTGATTATCCATAGAGCCATCTTGGGATCAGTGGAAAGAATGATTGCTATCCTCACTGAAAACTATGGGGGCAAATGGTAATTTTTGTCATTGTTTCCTTCTGTTTTTGTCTGGACCGTGTAAACTGACTGTCAGAAATGTCTGCTGTCCAATTTAGTTATATGATGGAAAGGAAGAATGATTCTAGTTGGTCACTTCTAATTAATGATAAGTGTTCACTAAAAAGTAAGGAATCACAATCTAAACCCAAACTTTTTAGCTCTACGAATGTTTGTTATGAGTAATTATTTTTATTTTAGCACTTGATTTGTTTGAATATTATATAAATGCTTTCTAACTAGGAATTACTATTCAGTAAGAAACATTGTTTTGATTGCTTTTCAAGTAACTCTGGGAATTTATAAAAGTTTGATGTTTTTGTCTGAGTAAACAAGAGTAGGCTTTTAGCAATACTTTGTTCAGTGTTGCTGATCATAATAAACAAGTATTTTAGACTCTTTAGAAGCCAAGGTTTTTTTTTTTTTTGATTGAAAGTACAGACTGCAAACTGATCAACATTTTTGTGTCCTATTTCTAGAAGCTTATGTTTCTACTGGCAAGATATAAGCACATGACTTGCATTTTATTTTCTAAGCAGCTTTATCTGGGCCCACATTTTGTAAAGGCAGTTGAAAACAGCACATGGTTATAAAACACCCATTTTGTAGAGCCTGACAGACTACACTGCAGTCATCTCAGTTTCATGTGTAATTTGGTTAGTTCAGACATGGGGTGGGGTGGCGGTGTCATACTTGTAAATGAAATAAGCTAATCTTCTTTTAGTTATATTGCACGAAATCAGATCAAACGTGGGCAGTATTCTCTATGCACAGTCTAGAGAATAGGGGGATCCTCAGATAACTGCTCTACGAAACCTGTAGTAGGTGGGGGAAAGCCCACAGTTTGGGTAGAATTTAGTGCCTACTCCAGCCTTTTCCCTGATGTAACAAAACAACTTGAACGTAGAGGAGTGGCCAAGAGAAACACTGGCCTGATGTCTGGAGCATGGGGAGGGGTTGGACACCTGAAATACCTGAAAGGTAGAATTGAGGATGGGGTCACCTTTTAATAAGTAGTGAAAACACACTCATTTTTACCAAGTACCATCACCAGTTATTATCGGCTCCAATTTGTTGAATCGTGCAAAATGGATCTTGAATAAACTGAAGGTACAGTCTTTGTCCCCCAGTGAAGAAAAAGTAATAAAATAACAGTTGAACAAAATAACTTTTTGAGTAAAATAACTTGAATCACTAAGTGTTTCTTAAACTATGTTAAGCCCTCTGGCAGCAGGCATATGGTGTTCTGTTACCTGATGTGTTGAGTTGTGGGGTGTAGTCTCTGCCCTCTGTTTGCTTTGCTATATCTGCTTAGCAAGACGGATCTTAGTTACAGGTTTTCCTGATTTAGGGTTAGTTTTCTCCTCCTGAATCTCCCTTTAGTCCTTCTTGGATATTGAAAAAAAGCCAAGTGTTTTAAAGTGGCCCTTGCATGTTTCAGGAAATGGTACTGAAGAGTAAACTAAGAAATGTGCCATCCTTGTTAAGGAAAGTGCCCAAAGCCACATTAAATGTTTTTAATTTCTTCTAAAGGCCCTTCTGGCTGTCTCCTCGCCAGGTAATGGTAGTTCCAGTGGGACCAACATGTGATGAGTATGCCCAAAAGGTAATCCTTAAGTATGACTTACTTTAAATTTAAGAGCTGTCATTCAGCTTTTCAATCTCATAAACTACGTGTATTCTTGGTAAATCAAGCTGCTTGCGATATAGAGAAATGTTTCTATTTTCAGTCTGTGGTAAGCCTCAGTAGATCATATTACCTCTTTAATGCTTTTTAATATGGTTCCATGGTTAGTAGACTTAATTTAGAGAGTGTTTTGTACATACTTGTATTTTTTAGTTTTTAGCATTAGTAAATAGCAAATGCCTCAGTATGACATGCAAATTCAAATGCATAGTACAGATTAAACTGCTCTTTGACTCAGTAATTTTGCTTTGTTTCTAATGCACATTTCTTTAATTTGAAACTATTTTTCAGGTTAATGTCATGACAGAGCAATGTTTGCCTTACCTACCAAAAAGCTACCTTACTAACAGATGTACAAATATCCATTCATACTTCATACCTTAAAGACTAGAACAATCTATTCTGTTATAGCAACAATTTCATACTAAGGAATTTCAAATTATCAAAAGCTGATATTAAAAAAAGCATTGTTTCATAACTGGCAAAGTAATAAATTGGCTAGTTAAAACAGACAAAAATCTAAATATCAATGAATAGTATTGTAACATCAAAACCACCATGTTTTCAGGTCATCAGAATAAATTGCACTCGGGTCTCAACTGTATTTAAGAAATAAATGATCATTAAAACAGCTGATAGGCAAACCATTCAAGATATACTGTGTTCCTATTACTGCACGTGGTAGTTTTAGTTAGAAATGATCAGAATCAGCTATGCTCCATGTTTAATGGATCTTACTTTATTGTATTTGCATTAAGAAAGCTCACACATTAGGAAAAAAGTCTGTATTAGTTAACTCACTTTTCAACTGGAGATAGTACTGACTTCTTTCCATATGGGTGTGGAGTAGGTTTAGAATTATGTGGGGTGGATTTTGGTTATATTGAGTGGAGGGGAGGGTGAGCACTGCTATTATTGATACTTAATGACTAGAGACCACAGTTGTTAAACAGCCTAAAGTTTCCAGGCTTCCTCCCCAATTACAGAATAGCTCAACTCACATGTGCAGAGGACTCATGTTAAAAAAAAAAAAAAAAAGACACTGGTGCTTTATTCTTCAAAATAGGTTACAGTTGAGAGTGTAGCCTTATCCTGGCACTCTAATAAACTAAGTAAGAACCCTTCTGAAATTTTGCATACTTATAAAATCCCAGGAGGTTCATTGGTTAATGATCACTAAGGCACAACAACCTATTAGTGAAATAAAAATGGTTCATTCAGATCCTTTGTCATTTGAGTGGTAATTGGTTGTCAAATGGATGGAAAATTTAAGCTAGTTTATTTAATTTAATTCACAATTTATCTCGAGCAGAGTATATAGTTTTGTAGTTCTAACTCACAATAATATATGCTTCAGTATATCTATTAACATTCCTTTTTAGCGCTGGCATGATTATCCAAATTGTTTGTTAAATAAAATAATTTAAGATCAAAATATAATTCTGATTTTAGATCTGAAGAACCCTCTATCTCTATTTAAATAGGTACAGCAACAATTCCACGATGCTAAATTCATGGTGGACATTGATCTGGATCCGGGCTGTACGTTAAACAAGAAGATCAGAAATGCACAGTTAGCCCAGTATAACTTCATCCTAGGTAAGAAAGGAGACTCACCAAAGAAAACCGGCCAACCTTTAGGAGAACTTGAAATGCTGAGACTTAGGCTTAAGAGAACTGCGGTCATCAGTAGTTCTTTCCAGTCCTGATCTCAAACTGTGTGTTAGTTCTGTTGATGTAACAAAGAAACACTTTGGTTTGAAAAAGAGTACTTGAAAGGTTTGTCTAAAAATCTCCCCTTCACCTCCTATTTTTTCATATGGTGAATTTTTATTAAGTTGGCTGGGTTAAGTGACTTGGTAAACACAGCAGTTCTAGTCATTGCAAAATGGTGAGTTGGGGTTTTTTGTTTTGTTTTTTAATGACTAGATTTGGTCACCTGTACATTTTAATGAATCAGAAGCTACAGGGTGGATTTCTGTTCCAATATTCAATAGGAGTCCTTTCACCTAACAAAACTTTGTGGGTTTTGGTTTAGTTGTTGGTGAGAAAGAGAAAACCAGCAGCACTGTCAATATCCGTACCAGAGATAATAAGGTGCACGGAGAACGTACTATTTCTGAAACCATCGAGTGGCTCCAGCAGCTCAAGCAGTCCCGCAGCAAACAGGCAGAAGAAGAATTTTAAGGAAGAGCTTTGCCCAGATTGGCTCAATGGAAAAGGATGAGCATGTTTCCATAACAGTAACTTTGTACAGTTGAAAACATCAGCTTCTGCTGACCTTGGAATAGTTTGGCAGAGTCCGCAGAGATGACTGCAGGATCAACCTTTTCTGACCTAGACAGATTTTAGAAAATATGTATTTGAAGGAGGTAATTAAAAGTGACACAGTAAAGTGATTTTATTCATTAAATTTCTGAGCACTGGAATAAAAACATGAGGAATGCTCTGCTGTAATGTGGAAGAATGCTTTTGTAAATTTAATACAGCTAAAATAAAATTTTTTTCAAATTTGATTAATGGAAAAGAAAGATTTGAATTGGATTATGATCTAGAAATAAAAACTTTTATTCACGTAAGTTTCAACTGCTCTGTCCCTCGTGACCATACAAACCTACCTGGAACAAATTGTGTGATTCAATATTTATCTTTCATCTTTTATAATACAAATGATGTAAGTTGGGTGGAGGGGTAAAATCTGTAGTATACTGCTGTTCTCAAACTGGGGTATGAACCAGGTGCCTGCTTCTCAGTCACAGGGTGACATCGTGTAGGAATGTCACTTAACTGTTTTGCGATGCAAACCTTTTAAAACAAAACCAACCATGAAGCTAATTTAGAGTAGTTTTGCACAAATTTTTAAGAAGACGGATGAGTCTTCAAAGAAATGCGTGCTTCATAGATGTAGAGAACAGACTAGGGGTTACCAGTGGGGAGAAGGAACAGGGGAGGGGCAATAATAGGGGTAGGGGATGAAGAGGTACAAACTATTAGGTATAAAATTGGCTACACAGGGAATATAGCCAACATTCCATAATGAATATAAATGGAGTATAACCTTAAAAATTGGGAATCACTGTATTGTACACCTGTAACTTATATAATATTGTACATCAGCTACACTTCAATAAAAAAAAAGAAATGTGTGTTTATGGCAGACTGTTCTGGGCCATAGAATCCTTTATACAAATTCCCTGTTTCATAAAGGATAATTTATGATTTTTTTTTTTAAACCATTGAATGGTGTTTGGGAGAACACCACAAAATAAGGAATTTCTTATGTGGATACATATCAATTCCTCTTTAGTTTTTTTTTTTTTTTTTTTTTTTTTTTTTGTGGTACGTGGGCCTCTCACTGTTGTGGCCTCTCCCGTTGCGGAGCACAGGCTCCGGACGCGCAGGCTCAGCGGCCATGGCTCACGGGCCCAGCCGCTCTGCGGCATGTGGGATCTTCCCGGACCGGGGCATGAACCCGTGTCCCCTGCATCGGCAGGCGTACTCTCAACCACTGCGCCACCAGGGAAGCCCTATTTTAAAAAGACAATATCTTGTCAGTTCACCAGTTAACTCCAGTAGTTGCTAGGGTCACTTCAAAGCAGAGCCCATTTGCATAAATGAATCCTCACTTTAATAAAGGAGATGAGATCTTTAATCATAGGGATTTTTTTTTCCTGAAACTTCATAATTAAGCCTTGCTTATGACTGACTGTCTTATAACTTAGCCTTGGATAGGTTTGTAATTAACTTCTATGCTTATCCTTAGGAAGCTAATTTTGTATTTGAACCAGAACTTTGCATTTCTCAAGTCATGACACCAAAATTTCTGATTCATTTTAAAACTGTTTGACTTTTTTTTTTTTTAATTCACAGTATCTTAGTTTGGATTTTTCCTGAGTTTTAAAAAACTCATATTACAGCATTATTTTAAATGGCTCTGTAATAACGTAGTCCAAAGACCAACTACGGTTTACATAGATTTTTTTAGTACCTGTTTTACACTTATAGCAACAAGTGGCTTGTATATTAATAATTTTCTTGAAATATTTGGAGGAGCTTCATAAATCTTACAAAACAATATATAAAAGTATAATAAAGACATAGGTAGGCAAGACTGGGAATCAAAGACTCCTCTTTGTAACTGACACCTTCTTAGCTTAGTCCCCACTTCCAATGGAAGCATAGGGGACCACTCTCTTATCCCATCAAAGCTCTTACGTCTGTAGTTTGCTTTGTTTTCTTTTCCTTCTCTTTTCTGGAGAGCAGAGACTTCTATCATTGTACCCTTCTGATCTCTTATGGCATATAATGAAGAATTGACTGAACCCAATTGCTGGGAATTCCCTGGCAGTCCAGTGGTTAAGATTCCATGCTTCCACTGCAGGGGGCACCAGTTTGATCCCTGGTCTGGGAACTAAGATCCCACATGCCCTGCGGTTCGGCCAAGAAGAAAAAAAGTGACAGAACCCAATTGCTACGACTATCGAGAGTTACATGATCTGGTAATGAAATATACAGACAGGAACTATGTGAGAACAATGACATCTGCGAAGACAGATTTTGTCAAGTAAAATAGGTACCAAAAATAAAGTAGGTACCAAGATGTGTAAAACAGACACCAAAACCACAATCAGGTTAAACCAGAATCTGTAGAGACAAAGTCAGGAGTACTGAACAGGCAGGTAAAGATGGTTGAGGCAAGTGAAAGGGCAAAGGACCTGGGATGGTGAGCTGAGGTCACACCTGAGCCCCTGGTGACCTCGTGTGCCCAGTGCATCCACTTGCTTCACTTCCTCACCTTTATACATCCCCAGACATCTGCGCTGTGACTGCTAGACTGTGCTTCTCAAATTGTACTGGACATGCAAATCAGCAGGAGATAGCGTGAAAATGTGCATTCACTCTGTAGGTCTGGGTCCTGGGATCCTGCATCTAACGAGCTCCAAGTTGATGCTGAGAAGCACAGTTTGAGGAGAAGGTAAATCAAGGCCTATAAGGAAACCAGCCTATTGTACTTTGGACCCTCATCTGATTCCCATGCTCCCAGGCAACCACTTTAGCCATGCTGGTGTAGGCTTCTGTTCCTGTTTCTAAATACATTACTCTCTGATTCATCACTTTTTTTTTTTGTGGTATGCGGGCCTCTCACTGTTGTGGCCTCTCCCGTTGCGGAGCACAGGCTCCGGATGCGCAGGCTCAGCGACCATGGCTCACAGGCCCAGCCGCTCTGCGGCATGTGGGATCCTCCCCGACCGGGGCACGAACCCGTGTCCCCTGCATCGGCAGGCGGACTCTCAACCACTGCGCCACCAGGGAAGCCCTGATTCATCACTTTTAAAACCCTTCTTCCGACTTACTGTTTTAGAAGATGTGGATTTTAATTTACACCTGTTTATTTCCTCTCTCCATCCTAATATATCTCAACTTTTTGTTAAATCCACAGTAGGTGTTATTGTTACTATGTCCACAAATATTATGGTCTAATAAATCATATTCTGTGATTACATTTTCCTAGTACAACTTTTTTTTTGGACTTTTAATTTTTTCTTTCTTTTAAAATGTTTTCCTGGTGGGCGGTTTATTTTTCCTTCTGTTCTTAGTGGAATTTCTGTCATTTAGGTGATTTACTTTTTCTTTTTTTTTTGCAGGTGATTTACTTTCAAGAGTTCTCCTTTGCCTTCCCATTCATTCTATTGATTTTATAAGCTTTTTTGTGCGGTATGCGGGCCTCTCACTGTTGTGGCCTCTCTCGTTGCGGAGCACAGGCTCCGGACACGCAGGCTCAGCGGCCATGGCTCACGGGCCCAGCTGCTCCGCGGCATGTGGGATCTTCCCAGACCGGGGCACGAACCCGTGTCCCCTGCATTGGCAGGCGGACTCTCAACCACTGCGCCACCAGGGAAGCCCCATTCTATTGATTTTAAAAAGAAGGTTTCAACTGTCACTTTTTTAGGTTTCCAGCATTCTTCTTTGTTCTCAGCCTATTCCTTATATAATAACATACTGTAGGGGTTATAAGTTTCTTTAGAAAAGTTTCTTCCAATCTCCCTGCAAGGTAAGCCTATGGCTTTTTGGCATTGCATGCAGGAAGGGTTTGGGAGGGGAAGTCTTATCATTCAGTATGCAGACTGTAACTTAACTCTCCCAGTGTCCAGGCAGAACCTCATCCTTGTTCTCCTCGGACCCTGGTGTCCCAGAAGGCTACAATCTCTCTGATTCTCCAGAGAATAAACCAAACAGTCTTCTGGGAGGTGCAGCATGGAACAATCACCTGACAGCGCAGGTAGGGTTGCAGACAGAGGTCTAACTACTCTTTATGCAGACTTTGAAATAATACCCTTATATTTAGTCCCCTTTCTTCCATTGTACCCAGTGCCTCTAATTCCTGAGACTTCCTGGGTTCTTCAGGGCAAATGATCTTGCTCTTCCTACCCTTTACAGGCATTTAAATTTGACCTTCCTTTTCTCTGCTGCATCATATACCAATGCCCCATTTACCTTCTGTTACCACAAAACTGGGTTCGCCTCTTGGTGGGTGTTGAGCCAAAAGACACAACCAAGCCAAAGATCTGGAGAAGGAAGGATTAATTACTTGCAAGAAATAAGGAGAATACTGGGGATCTCTCCCAAAGCAGTATCTCCCCAACAGCAAAATTGGGGAAGTTTTAAGATAAGGGTACATGCATATTCATGAAGTGGTGTGAGCAGAGGAGAATTCAGCATAGAATTGGGGCCAAGGTTGACAGATTCCAAGCTTTAGTTGAATGAAGTCACGAGGGTCAGAAAATGTCAACATCATCCCTTAGGCTCCAGTTGATCAGGTGGTTGAGTGCTCAAGGGGGGTTTTATTTCTGCAAAAATGTGCTTCAGGCTAATCCTTACCATTGAAGCAGAACTGGGAGTCTTTACAACTGATTCATTAATCTGTAGATACTATCCTTAAAGCAGACATTCCCCAAATTCAATTATTCCTAAAAAGTTTACTTAAAAGCTCTTATCTCAGTTACTTCTATTTTATTTACTTAAAAGTTTTTGACAGCCAAAAAATAAGGAATTCCCTAATTCCCTGGCTGTCCAGGGGTTAGGATTTCATGATTGCACTGCCGAGGGTGCAGGTTCAATCCCTGTTCGGGGAACTAAGATCCCACAAGCTGCGAAGTGTGGCCAAAAAAAAAAAAGTTTTTGTCATA